CCATCATACAGGCGATCAAAGCTCGAGCCATTGCAACCTTTGAGAACCCAGCAGTCATATCAACAAATCCCCAAATCCCGATCAACTCCTCAAGACGTTGACGAGGGAAGGACTTTGTCAACAAATCAGCCCATTGGTTCTTGCCGGACACAAAGGAAACTGCCACCTGGTCATTTTCCACCTGTTCGTGTATGTAGGACGCACGTACACGTAGATGACGTGTTCTCCAGGAGGACGAGGCAGACGGTTTGCAAAGGCTTACCGCTGCTTGGTTGTCTACCTGTAGATAGATCTTTCCAACATCCTTCTTCATCTGGTAAAGGACCGACTCCACACTTCGGGCCATCACAAGCCCTTCGGTTGCTGCCAAGAGCTCGCACTCTGCCGTCGACAGGCAGGTGAAAGGCTGCCGGGCCGACCTCCAGCACACTGGAGCTCCCAGCCACACCGCAACCAGTCCTGAGTGGCTCTTCGACCCTTCAGGAGCAAACGAGCTGTCAGTGTAGATCGCGAAATCCTCGTTGGTGGGCCGTAAGGAGAGGGCCAAAGTTTTGGTTCGTTGCAGGTACGACCTCAGTCTCGAGGCAATAGCCAAGCATCTAGGAGCTGCCCTCGTCAAAAGAGAACCCATAGCACATACCACGAATGATATGTCTGGTCTGCTTCTTTGGGCGATCCAAAGAAGCTCTCCGCAGGCCCTCTGGGCCAGCTTCACCTGCTCGTCTGTACCAGCCTCCTCCCCTTCTCTAGCCTCGAAAGAAACCATCTCTTTTGGAGCCTGGATAGGTGACAGCTCTGTATGGGGGGTGGAGTGGTGGCGAAGAACCTCCTCAATGTAGGGGCGCTGGTGAATGTAGATTCCGTCGTACCCCTCGGTTACAGCGATCTCACAGCCGAGGAAGCGTATCTCATGATCAGCATCCAACATTTCCAGCTCTGAGGCCTTCCAAACCCCACGCACTGTAGTAGCTGTAGCCCGGACCAACCAATCAGGTCCACATATCAGGATGTCGTCGACATAGACGAGAACCAATCCATCCGGCTCCTGAGCTGTAGAGGCACCCTCTGGATACAATAACCACATGTTTGGCTCTGCCGTCCCCTGAGTTAACGTCCAAGTCTTGCCCTCATACTCCACAACCATCTTCTTCATCTCTTGATCTCTGAAGGAGGACCAAAGCTTGGGACTTTGTCTCAGTCCGTACATTCCATGGGTAAGCATCCATCGTTCGTCTGGTTCTGCCAAACCAAGCTGGATCAAAGCCGCTGGCGGCCGGATCAAGTAGACCACCTGTCCCCGTCCGACAGGGAGGGGGGTAAGCATGAAAGCCCCGGTGATGTCGAGTATTCCGGATCTCCACCGGCGCTTGGCCGTGTAGGTTAATGCACATCTCAAGCTCTCCGCTGCCGCCCCTCCAGCGTACAACTCATCTTGGTCTGCTGCAGCATAATTCCCACAGCACACGATGCGTGCCTTGCGCCGACAATATAGCTGTTCACCTCCAAGCCCTTGTTCTCCAGACGGTGGTTTGACTGTATATACCAGTTTGGAGGGAAGCTCTTGTACAGTGCAGGATTGCTTCAGGGAAACCACATCCTTCACCGAAACTCTCTTGAATCCACGCTCAACCACACCGAGCTCCTTGGCAATCGCAGACCGCCACTTCTGAATAACAGCCCTGGCCTCCTGAGGACTCACATTGTAAGTGTGCCGAAGGGGCACATCGCCTTCAATAGCATTCTTGATGATGTCCTCAATGCCCTCAACGTACTCAGGTTCCAACTTCGCCAATCGATGACCTTCATACAGGCCAATGGCTGACCAATACTCAACATTATCTCCCATGTCTT